CATTCGCGTTTCCGGTATCATCCAATCATGACTTCATTATTACAATTTTTACAGTGTTTATTTAGATTAGTGTGGTGTGCTCCTTTGTTTGACAAGAAACAATCACACTCCAACTGGGAATGTTGATCAGAGTCTGCTTTATTATGATGCAGTCCTCTTTCCTAGTCTTATTCCAGTCTCTCTCTTACTCCGTAAAATCCGTCTTCTCTCTCCCTCGTCCACCTATTTCACTCGACTCCTGCCACCACATTTGTCCTACTCGAGGCGTTATTCACCCTCTCCTGCGTCCGGGTAACTAATTCGAGGCACAAGCCTCTGAGTGTCATGGTCACCCCGTTTGCTACATGTACCACGTATCTGGTACAACAGACCTACCGTCAGCCAACTAGCTCCGGTCCCCGCTGTATGTTGTCCTCATCTGACCACATCCGTCACATGATGGACGGATTGATCGGGGTCGCAGGACCTATTTGCAGAAATCTACAACCACAGCCTCCGATGGAGCCAACTTACAAATCCCGAAATGAAAGGTACTCCGTATTAAAGAAGAGCTTCGAGACTACCAGTAAATCAGCAAGATGAGATGTATTTATCATATTTCGTCTAAGGTAGTAGAATTTTCCCACAATGGAAACGTCAGCTCAACTCATATCAAGATTATTGAAATTGTGTGCATTTATTAGAATTGCCTCTTGTCGAAAAACACAAAGTAACAATCAATCGGTACTAATTATTTGGCTTACATATAATGCACTTAGCTCGTAGCATTTTATACTCTCCGCACTTGTGCCTCCTTCGATCTCTCTTTGTGTCTCCACAGCTGTCAATCCGTTGGCTATCCTGGCCTAAATTGCCAAGGTAACCAGGCGGTGGCAGCTTTCTACCGGTTAGCTGGTCTATGGAAAATACGGATCCGGTAGTTCTCGAGGCTGCTGAGATATTTCGCAGCCTAGACAAGGCATTCGGCAATGGGCCAGACTCGCCTCCTTCGGTACCAGTTATTGTTAACATGCGGGGGGCGGACAATCGTCTGCTGTGCCTAGTTCCACGTGTGTTGCTTCCGTGTATCTCCTTCTGCTGACTATTCGGCTCTGCACTTTCCCCTTCCAGAGCGTTTGTATTGAAGTCCCCTACGCCTGAGCGACCATCAAGCGAGCCCGGCCGGTCGGGGCTGCTGAAAAGCCGATGTATCCTTTGCCTTGACGAAGCTTGGTCCAGACCAACTGAAGATACAGCATCTGCCCTCATGGTCGAGTGGTCGCCTCGCGGCGGCGCATCACAATGGCCGAGCAGATGCGGTTCAGTGCTCAGTTGGTTGCTGGCGTTGCTGTCACGGAGACCGGACTGGGTCCAAGTGCGAACCGGCGATAGGTTGTACTCACCGTACAGCCGAGTTCGTAGGTGGGCGTTCATCAGATGGAGCATATGCCTTCGATGGAGCATCTCGGAGGAGTCCTCTCCCATGCTGCTCAATGATGGCAGGGAGCCGCGATGGGGTACATCTGACGTCGGCAAGGCGGTGGCCAGCTGCGGAGGCCCAAGAAGCTGGGTGATATGGTCATCTGTTGCTATGTCTAGAGCATTTAAGTGCAAAGAGATGTTTGAGCATCCAGCATCTCCAGAAGCGAATCCAGGCTTCCGAGGAGCAGAACTCATCGAAGCAGTCTGAGTATGGATGGACTAGTTTTGAGGAGAACTTTTCATTTAAGATGAACCGGATGGAATACATACAATGATTAAGCTAATGTTGTTCTCGTCTGAAGAAGGCTCTAATAAAGAATTTTCACATATCTTCAACTTATAAGTCGCCTGTTCAGGGAGAGTAGAAAGCGTGCAATTTTTTCATCCACTGACGGTATTCGATCTTGTGTCGAATTCGAACAGACATTCTAATCGATAAGGCTGTCTGTGAATACTTCAAGAATGGTACTGTTTACCTCAACTTATTTTAGTTTAGGGTTAACTGGAGCTGAGGGAGATTAGTTGAAGAAACCTTGGACGGATTATGTGCTTACTGCCAATAACTCGACAGGAAGCCGCAGGATGTTCTAATATAGTATCCTTTAAAAAAAATGCAAAGTCAAATATTATTATGCTTCAAATATTAGCATAGATAATATTTTTAAATGATTAGTGCCTAAAGAAATTGTGCTATGTACACTTGGGCAAATTCAACAAAGTTAAAAATCCTGATCATCTCAATTTTCGGTTCATTTATAGGTCTATGGATTTTGCAATTTCCACAAGTAGGATAAAAATTTTGTAAACATTGTAATAATATTATTTGTATATAGGTAGAGTTTCGAGACTATCAGTAAATCGGTTATATGAGTTGTATTCACCCTAGTTCGTTTAAGGTGAGGAAGAACTGGTAGTTGAATTTTCCCACAATGATATGAGTAGAGCTGACGTTTCCAGTGAATTTCGCATAGCCTTGCTTTCCCAAAGGTTGTTCTCATCAAGGGTGAACTGCAGTTTCTGGTAGTCTCGAGACTCTACTTATATACTAAAAATAAGTAACCTAATCGATTGTTATAGCAAAAATACGTTTGCTTCATCGACAATCCCACCAAAGAATGTGATATGGCAAAAGGCCTGGCCTTTCTTGAAATTCACATCTTCCCTGTGACCCAAGGGCAATCGGGGCAGTGTGGACGAGTGGTTAACGTGTCACACTCACATTCTGCGTTGTCACGGTTCTACTCCCGCTAGGGGTTTGATAAAACCAGTTGATACGAGGTCGAAATCGCAGTCCACTCCAGCCGGAATGCGAACAACAACTATGTGAAATTCAGTGGAAACGTCATATGATTGTGGGAAAATTCGACTACCTAAATCACCTTCATCAACGAAAAAGGGTGAATACATCTCATTTAATTGTAATAATACATTAAAAATGAAGGTATCGACTGATTTAATAAGAGCCCAAACTTTTGCTGAGGAGAGGATTGATTGCTTGGGGCTGTGATGTACATACTGATAGCATTAAAAGTTAATAAAATAGTCAATATTTAGTTGGTAAACTCAACAAGTTGCTGGTACGATAGTTAGTATATTAGGGGATCATTTCAACTTTCATTTGCTTTTTTGTCTGTATGTTGATTTTTTATGATATGATTTGATAATTGACATACTTCACAAATATTTAGGTGGGAAAGTTTGATCGTTGCATCGTCCATCATATGATGGACGAAAGCTCAGCACGTTTTCACCAGAAATGAGGGAGGAATTCTCGTGGACCGCGTTAAAATGAATATCGTATAAAAGCCAAATGGCTGCAGTACAACAAGTTCATGCGTCCTCATCTGATGAGATCGACCGACGAATCTCTTCTTCATGAACTTTCGTTCGAAATGATGGTTGCCATAACATTATTAACCAGTTAGGAATAAGTGCAACTTATTGTTTTGAATAGCAAATTATTCACTTTCTAACTATTCAATCCATGTGTATGTGCATTAATTGCTCTCAATACAGATCAGAAGACGCCCTGTTCTCGCTGAAATTAATTCACTTTTGAAGATATTAAGACCAAGTTGATGTGGCCTCTGGTATGGTCGCAGTCTCCTTTCGATTTATAAAAGTGGGTTGACCTCGTTGTCGCAACTTGGTCTTGTGTTCAGGGTGACGTAGTAGAACGCACCTAGTCCGAAGTCGTATGCCATAGTAGTTGTCATGATTCCCAGCATCAGACAGTGGA